ATCTGCCCATTTCCTGAGCCTGTCAAGGTCAGCCTGGATCATCCTCTTGTCCTCAGGAGTGGACACTTTACCCCAAGTTTGGTGTCATCGGCGCACTTAGCCAGTCTGCTTCTGAAAGCAATGTCCACATCATTAATGAAGATGTTGAACAGTGTAGGCCCAAGAACAGAGCCTTGAGGGACCCCACTGATCACAGGGCACCACGGCGATTGATCTCCATCAACCATCACCCTCTGGGTCCTACCACGGAGCCGATTCCCAAGCCAGCAGATCATGGTGAGGCTAGGTCCACAGTTAGCCAGTTTTACTAAGAGGTGATCATGAGATACCAGATCGAAGGCTTTTTTAAAGTCAACATATATGACATCAATCTCTTCTCCCTTGTCCAGGTGATAGGTCACCTGGTTGTAAAAGGAAATCAGATTGGTAAAGCAGGACCTACCCACAACAAACCCATGCTGGCTGTCCCTCAGGATGTTGCTATCGACCAGTCTGTTAAGAATGGCCTCTTTGATAATCTTTTCTAAGACCTTCCCCGGGATAGAGGTCAGGCTGATGGGCCTGTAGATTGCCGGATCCACTTTCCCCCCTTTCTTGACGATAGGCACCATATTGGCCTTCTTCCAATCTTCGGCCACTTCACCTGAGCACCAGGAGTTCTCAAAGATCCGTGACAGGGGGTGAGCTATGATGCTAGCCAGCTCCTTGAGTACCCTGGGGTGTAAACTGTCAGGGCCGGCTGACTTGAGGTGGTATCTGATGAAGAAGGCTGTAGCCTAAGAAAGGCCAAGTCTTTCTAAACAAGTTAGTTTATAAGGTGTCCCCCAGTCCTGCCTTCTGCCTGACTTCAGTCTAAGAAGGCTAACTATCTTTCACCACTCATTCGAGTCAGGAAAAGTTGAAAGAGTGTGAGAAAACAATTACTTTTTAGGTAATATGAAGAGATCAAATCCTACAGCAATGAAGGCTATAAAAAACCGACTAGATAGGATGCTGGTCCTTGAAATGGTACCTGCCATATTTACCTGAACCCAAGACTACTTTGAATTTAAGGTGACTATGCACTATGCAGTCTCTCCTGGGCACCACTCTCATTCCTCACCACACAGTCTCCCCTGTGCTCCCCTTCTGCACATACCCCATCTCCTGCTACACAAGGCACCCTGGCCTGGGCAGACAGTGACTCTGGCTCAGTTTTGCCCCAGGCCTGGAGGTGGGTCCATAGCAACTGGCTGCCCCAGCCAGTACTCAAATCCAAGATGAGGCTTGCCCCCCCACCCATGTTGATTGCAGAAAATAATCGTGTCTTGGACTTAAGTGAATACAGTAAATTAATACCTACTCTGCGTACCACTGAATCTACTCTGATATTTACTGGAGTTGTCCAGTTAGTTTATTAGATTCTTCTTTCCACAGCTCTTTACAAGTCCTCATTTGCACTCTCAAAATGCTGGTTCAAATTAATGAGGTGAAGGCCAATATCATTAATACTGGTGTATTTCTACCACAGAAAATGAAAGCAAAAACTTTCCCTGGTAGCAGAGAGGTAAGTGTAGGTCAGCCAGGAATTATTCATATTAGACACAAAATGCTGACTAAACAATAGGTAAAGACACATGTAAGGTTGTGCAAAAAAACTTTGTTCTTTTTCTTCATGATACGTATTGTTATTATGCAACTAGCCCAGACAAGCAGAATTGCATACAGTAAAATCTTGCACAAAGAAATCTTACATTTATCTGCTACAAAATATACCATCTGTTTGTAAGAAATATATATACTGAAATCTGCCCACACTAAAGAAAAAAGAATAATTCACTTTTAAGATCAGCCATTTGTGGATTTCTGTTGCATAAAGATGCTTTGCCAAATGATATGTGGTAATGCTGCGGTATGGATCCATGCCTAAAAGAATTAAGCTCAGACAACTCTGCTCAGTTCATTTGTTGCTTGAACAATATTGTATACAGAACTCCCTGAGGTAAATGAACTAATGCATTACTCTATCACCCAATCCACTTAGCTCCTTTAAGGTTACATCAACCATCGAGGATGCATATAACCAACCGAACTGGATTTCACCCACATTCACATAATGAAAAAAATACTGTGTAAGCATGGCCTTAGGCATTACAACTTTTGATCTAAATCCAAGCTACTTCATACGCCAAAATTCTTTTTTAGAATTGAAAAGTACTTAGCAATTCTTGCTGAGGAAATGCAAATGATAACAAAATAGGCATGTGAAAAGTAACATCAAGTACAAAACAAGTTGTAGCTGTGACAAGGGTGCACACTAACAACCCTGGTTCAACTGAGATGCCCATTTTACTACTTTCCCCAGGCTGAGAGAGAGAGAGAAAGAGAGCACTTGTGTGTACATATGGTTTGCTTGCTGGACAGTAGCCTCTCAAAGCAATCAGATGAAGTATGGAAGAACTAGGGGTGAGAAGTCATGAGTATTCCCTGTCCATTCACTCTTCAGTTCTGTTGTACTTCCACCAATGTCAATGACAATTGGTGTGACTGCCCTTGAAGAGTAATTCATGTTGAATAATGACATGAAAGTCTCAAAGTAGAAAAGGGAAATGCAGAAAACATGGTATGCAAAACAAAAGTTTAAATTTGTTTTGTGATTTTCATAGATTTCATAGACATTAGAGCTGGAAGGGACCTCAGAAGATCATCGAGTCCAGCCCCGCGCCCAAAGGACAGGAAGTCAGCTGGGGTCATAGGATCCCAGCAAGATAGGCATCCAATTTACTCTTGAAGGTGTTCAATGTAGGTGCTTGAACCACCTCCGATGGCAGGCTGCTCCAGACCTTGGGGGCTCGGAGAGTAAAGAAATTCTTTCTTATGCCCAGCCTGAAACGGTCATTTTGAAATAACAGCAATTATACTAACAAAGAAGATCAATATACAGACAGATGTCCAATTCAAGAGGGGAGCATGACTATTCTCAAAAGTGTTTCTCTAGAACAAATTCACAGGTTATATTTTATCTTTTCAGTTTCTGGCATCTTAATGTAAATTTATATACAATTCTACATATCAGGCTGGAAAAAATCCAGTTACTACTTTCTCTGTTTCAGTATTCAAGTATGTTCACAGTATGAGCTGTATAAACTACTGCTCAACAACTACTAACACTGCAATTCCATAAATTATACAGCAAGGAATATCATATTTCATTAGAAAGCTGACATGCAGGTATGGAAAATAGCAGGTGTACATCCTACTGCTACAAAACAGGTTGTTTAGCAGACAATACTCTATTCTAAATTAAGTGTCTTGGGTGGGAAAGTTCAAAGGTGCTTAACTCCCAAAGAAAGATAATTTTAAGAATGTCTATGTTGTCCGCAGACCTACAATAGTAAATACCTTTTTGACAGATAAAAATCAGTTGACCTTTGCTTTACAGAAATCCCTTAAACTCTCCTTTGAAAGCTTTGACATTTTCTCTTGGGAGGTTAATTTCATCAGGGAGTCTATTTTTATTGAATATTTGGAAAGGAATAAAACTGTTTTTTAAAGAAATAAGAAGTTCTTCAGGTCCAGCACAGAACAAACCAAACTGACATTTCATACCACCAAAATATTCATAATGTTTACCATCTTCAGAAAGTAAATGGAACATGTATAACAACTCCCTTCAAAGGGTACTGTTGGTTTTAACCAACACTTAATATTCTCTCTCCAACCACCACGCAGTATATAAAATTTTAATTTTTCCTGAATAAACACATTTGTACTATAGAAATAAAGAATCCTTTTTCTACTGAAAACTTCTTTTGAAGACCACGTTTTTGAAGCCAGTTTTGAGAAAAATGTCCATTTAACCACAACCTTTTTACAACAAACCCTTGACATTCCTATTGTTTGAGAAACTGTAAACATTAATCACATTTGCTTAAATCAAGCTGCAGAAAGTTCTTTGTAAGTTTTCCAATGCTTAATGTATAACATAAAAATGTGTTCCAGTTTAAGTGATGTATTTCAACCTAATGCTGGCTTGATGGCATCTTCATACCTATTTTGAAGTAGTATTTTACTAACAAAAAACAGGCTTTGGTTTGCCACACAACAAATAATTATAAGGAAAAATGAAATAAAAGCTACTATTATGCACTAGTGTTTAGCTAAAGGGAAAGTGTAAGTTAGGTAATGCTTAGCCACTACCAGTCCAACTGTGAAATTTTTTATATTTTGTTGAAGAAATGTATCTGGCACTCTTTAAAGGAAAAGTAGACACGTGAGAAAGAGAAAGTACTCACACTGTTTGGATGCTGAATGGCAGCTTCATACTGCAATCTAACTCTCTGTGGCATCATAACATCATCCTGCAATAAACAGCACACTATTATTTTACATTAAATGGGTCACACACAGTACAGTACTCAAACACATATCAGGATGTCATGTTTGGTTAGCTATCATTTTACTGCCCTGCAGTCAAGGCATTTTTATAAATACAGATACAACAAGTATTAAAATTGCTTTGACCATTATTTAGCTCCTTTTCACATCAGTTATGATACCAAAAACACAGTATTTAAAAAGGAACCTGAGGAAAACTTGTAGATGTAAAAATTAAACCTGCATTTTCAAATTATGTTCTTCTATTCTGTACACTACTCTATTCCCATGAGACAGGGAAATATATAAGAATCCAGTTCTCTGAATAAATTTCTATGCAGGATTTCTGTGCCTTCTCAAAAGGAGGAAACAGGGCAATATCATTTGATACTGTATCATATTCAGGACAGCACAACAATTGTATGTGTGGGATAGTAATGAACAAATTCTTATGGTACTTTCATGCCAAATACAAGTGAATTATGTGCACAAATCTTAGGCTCTTCTGTATACATGATTCTAAACATATACAAATGATCGTAGGATCATGGGTTTGGAAGGGACTCCCTGTACAAATGCAGGATTTGCTGTTCTAAAACCAACCCATATAGAAGTTTACCTAGCAACTTCTTGAGAACCGTCAATGAAGGTGCTTCCATAATTTCCCTAGGCAATTTGGACCTCTGTTCTTACACATTTTTCCCTCAAATTCAATCTAAACCTGTTTTTCAGGAATTAAAGTCATTGCTTCATGATCTGTCTTCAGTGGCAAGGGAGAAAAATGTTTCTCCATTTGGTTAATGGCAAACTTTCAAATATTTGAAAACGGCTATTACATTGGCCTTTAATCTCTTTTTTTTGCAAACTAAACATACCTAGTTCCTTCAACCTTAACCTCATATGACTTGCTTTCCAATCCTTTTATCATCTTTGTCACTTGCCTGGTCCCTTTCCAGTTTCTTTACATCCTTTTAATGATATGGTGTTGAAACAGGACATGGTACTTCAGCTGAAGACTAACCAGCACAGAGCAGAATGGTATTATCACCTCTTGTGTCTTGCATATGATGCAAAAGTACACTAGCTTTCTTTCTCTTTCTTTCTTTTTTTTTTTTGCAGCAGTAGCAGCAGCAGTAGCAGCATTACACTGACTCGCACTGATTTACAATCCAGCATAACTACAAGATCCTTCGCAGTAATGCTACTGCCAGGCCAGTCATTCCTCACTCTGTACTTGCCCATATATTTCTTCTCATATATTTCTCAATAACCTGGCCTCCCACCATATTACAACCAATTAAGAAACAACAAGGCATGGCAGGCAAGGAGGCAGGCAGTTGGCCCAGAACAGGCAGGTGGGCCAATGGCAGACTGGCCCCAGGAAAGCCCCATTACACTTTGTATCACATCTGATACCAAGTGTCTGCAGGCCAAGCTCTCTTAAGCAGAGCCCAGTCCTGGGTTCTGCAGAGTCCAATGCAAAGTCCCATTTGAGGGCCCCATGTCACCCACTTTCTACATTCTGGGTCCCTCATCTCTGCAAAGTAGTGACTCCTCTGCCCATGGCTGTCTGCTACTTCCCTGCACCCGTGCTCAGGCTGAGTCTTAAATTTTTTTTTATTCTCATAAATAAATTGAGACGCTGTGAAACAGATGTTTACATGGTCCGGTGGATGGCAAATTGGCTTAGTGGTCGCACTCAGAGAGTGGTAGTAAACAGGTCGGTATTGACCTGGAAGAATGTGGGTAGTGGGGTCCTGCAGGGTTCAGTCCTTGGACCTGTACTCTTCAGTATCTTCATCAGTGACTTGGATGTGGGTGTGAAGTGTAGTCTGTCCAAGTTTGCAAATGATACTAAATTATGGGGTGAAGTGCACTCTCCAGAGGGTAGGGAACGATTGCAGGTAGACCTGGGCAGGTTAGAATAGTGGGCAATACACAATAGGATGCAGTACACCAAGGACAAGTGCAGAGTGCTGCACCTAGGGCGCAAAAATATCCAGCACACCTACTGGCTGGGAAGTGACCCTCTCAGCAGCACAGAAGTGGAAAGGGATCTCATAGTGGACTCCAAGATGAACATGAGTTGTCAGTGTGACAAAATCATCAGCAAAGCTAACCACACTTTATCATGCATCAGCAGATGCATGACAAATAGATCCAAGGAGGTAATACTTCCCCACTATGCAGCACTGGTCAGACCACAGTTGGAGTACTGCGTCCAGTTTTGGGTGCACACTTCAAGAAGGATGTTGATAGACTCCAGAGGGTCCAAAGGAGGGCCACTTGTATGGTTAAGAGCTTACAGGACAGGTCCTATGAGGAGAGACTGAGGGACCTAGACCTCATCAGCCTCTGCATGAAAAGGCTGAGAGGTAATCTTGTGGCCACCTACAAATTCATTAGGGGGACACAGCAAGGGATCAGAGATGCTTTGTTCACCAGGGCACCTCTTGGGGTAACAAGGAACAATGGTCACAAACTGACAGACAGAAGATTTAGGCTAGATATCAGGAAAAACTTCTTCATGGTAAGGGTGGCCAAAATTTGGAATGGGCCTCCAAGGGAGATGGTGCTCTCCCCTACCTTGGGGGTCTTTAAGAAAAGGCTGGATAGGCATGTGGTTGGGGTCATCTGACCCCAGCACTCTTTCCTGCGTAGGCAGGGGGTTGGACTCAATGATCTGTTGAGGTCCCTTCTGACCCTAGCGTCTATGAATCTATTTGAAGCACCTTTTATTTATCATTGTTAATTTTAATTTTGCTGTCTATAGTCTGGTTTCCCAATGTATCAAGACACCCTTGAATTTTAAACCCGGCCTCCCAATTTTGTGTCATCTGAAAATCTGATCAATATATTTTCTATGCCCGCATCCAAGTCAGTAATAAAAATGTTAAGTGGCACTGAATCCATAAAAGACCCTGTAAAACTCCACTTAAGACTTCTTGCCAGCCTGATATTGAACCATTTATAGTTCTCTTCTTTGTTTGCAGTTATTCAACAAACTATGTATCCACCTAACAATAAGTCTTTCTAGCCCATATCCTTCTAGTTTACTTATGAAAATGACAATTAGGACTGCATGAAAGCTTCATTATAGTCCAGGTACACCATGTCCACAGTATTCATCATATTCACCAAACTGTTCACCCTGTCAAAAATACAAATCAAGATGGTTTGACATGATTTGTTCTTAACACATCCTTGCTGGCTACTACTGATCATCTTCTTGTCTTCCAGATATTTACGAACTGACCGTTTTATAGTTAATTCTGGTAGCATCACTGATATTGAGGTTGGACCAAATGAGTGATTTGCTGAAACTGAGTATGTAGTGACCTGGACATGTATTGAGACTGCTCAGCTCCCATGTTTGAATGTTTGCTATTTTGTCAAGCCAAAAACAATCTGCATAATATTTGTCCAGTATATCTATGGCCCAAAGATTTTTGGTCATTGGATATTTTATCTTTGCATTATTTTTAAGTAGATATCTGAGCAGTTGGGAGCTTTGTAATTAAGAGTTATCTAGTAAGAAGACAGCAAAATAAAGTCATTACCAACAAATCTGTATAACATAAAGACACATAAAATAAAGTTTCTGAACCCTAACAGATAAACTACAAATAAAGTAAATATTGCTGAAAAGGTTGATAAGTCTTTTATCAACTATAAATTTATCTCAGAGGTCCTGCCAAAGGATAACCTCACCTTGGGAAACAAGCAATGGCTGATGAAAACTAATGGGACAGTTAAGGCCCTGGCCTTTCTTTTGTTTTTAAGACATAATTTGAAATTCCACGTTAACTATAAGATTTTCTTAAGTAAGTGAGATTTCAAGCTTAAATCCAGCTGTCTAATCAAGAAATATCTGGGGCAAATATTTGCTCAAATTCAAGACAAAGGTGTCTACCCATCCCACAGTCAGCATGGGGGGGAAACACCTCATCTCGGATTCAGGTAGCGACCTGGGGCAGGCAGTGACTCAGCTCTGGCTTTGTCTCTGGGCTCAGGACCAAAGCTGTTACCTGCTCCAGGCCAGAATGATCCATTTGGCAGGGGAGGGGGCTTGCTGCTGGGGGGGGGGGGTGCAGGGGGGACCATAAGGGGAGGGGTTAGGCTGCAGGTACCTCCCCATGCCTGTGCCTACCCTCTCCTCACCCCGCTACCCTCAACCCAGTTGCTCCCTCTTCCCTGACCTTATACTCTGGCTCTGGTCCCTTCAGTCCTGACCAGGTCTGGCTGGGAGTTGCTGCTGAATACCTTGAACCAGAGCAGAGCTGTAGCAGAAGGTAAAGGGGGCAGGGTAATGGAGAGTGGACAGGGAGGAAGTGAGGGGGGCAGGCAAGAGAGACAGGGAGATAGAGCTGAAAAGGGGAGCAGGGCACAAGAGGCAGGCACAGGCATGGCAGGGCAGGTGGCAGCACAGCATGTGGCAAGGGGACAGACAGGCACAGGTCAGAGAAGGGGCAAGGAAATAATGGGCAGGGGTCTGGCCTCTCACCCCTCCACTGCTGCTTCTTCCCATAGCAGTGTGGGGGATGAATTAAAGATAACCTTCCACTAATTAGAGTCTATCCATAGGAAATTATAATAAATTTATTTATTAAAAAAATTAATAATTTTCCATGGATAGAATCTAATTACTGGGAGAGTTGTCTTCAATTTGCAGTAGTCTTGGATTCAGGTAAACATAGTAGTTCTAAAGCTGTGGCTAGTATGGAACTGCAGACTGCCAAAGCTGTACCAGCTTGGTTCCCACAAAATTTACAGAACTCATACTCCACTTGCCAGGCCAGGAGTGCTCTGCAGGGCGGGCTGAAAGAATCAAGAGTCATGCTTTCTGATGTGTACCATGTGATGCCCCATGAATGATGTGATCCTAGAATAAATAATCTATACAGACAGATGTGAAAGCATGCCATAGGTTCTCTCAAGCTAACCAGAATATAGGTGCAAAATGACTGTATTTTTGCAAAACTAG